CTTTTCCATTTACCACGTTTCATTCAAGATCCTGTTTCAGAATCTCTTCTGACATCCACATTGTTTTTGTCTTTCCTTTCTGTCTTTTAAATGACCTTTTGCTTTCTTTTTGTAGCTATAATATCCTTGGTGTCATCCTACAACTTGTCTGGTCTTTGGTCATTAGTGTTCAATACATCAAATCTATTCTTGAGATGGTCTTTAAATTCAGGTGGAATATACTAAAGGTCATAGTTTGACTTTCATTGGCTTGTTTTAATTTTCTTTAGATTCAACTGAATTTGTGTATGTGCAATTGATGATCTATTCCAAATTTAGCCCCTGATTTTGTTCTGACTGGTTACATTGAGCTTCATTATCGTCTTCATTGTTTCCGCAAATGTAGTTGATTTGATTACTGTGTATTCAATTTGGTTTCTATGTTGCAGTACATGAATAGTTACTACTTATGTTATTGAAAAAAGGTATTTCCGATGAATAAATTGTAGATCTTGCAAATCCTATCATGTAATCTCCAGTGTATTTCTATCATCAAAGCCATATTTTCCAACTACTTCTTTGTTTCCAGCTTGCACATCCCAATCACTAATAATTATAATTTCATCTTCATTGCATGGCTGATGAATTTCAGAGCATCCTGAAGCCCCAAGACTGTGGTCTAGAAATACTATTACCCACTAAAATTAACTTAGGCTCTTAGAGAAATGACTTATGTCAAATCAAAAGCTGGAAATGTACATGACAGGCCCAGACACCTTGTCATAACAGTTTTGAGGAAACTACCAAAGATTAATCAGGGCCATGTCAAAAGGACTCAGGATCCATCTTGAAGACGCTCCTATTGGCCAAAAGAGTACAATTGGAGCTTCAAAAACAAAAACAATTACAATTGGTGGTAATCATCAAATGTTTAAATTCATAATCTTATTATATTATATACTTTTTTGAAAACTGAATTCATCACCTTGAAACAATGATAGAAAACCAATGGTTTATTTTGAAAATTGGTTAAAAACAGGGGGCAAATATCAAGCATTTATCCAGCCTTTCTTGTATGAGTGAGCAGCACCACTGGGTGACCAATGGCAGGTGAGGGAAAGTGTTTCTAATGAATTTCACTCAACAAATGGAAAAGAAAGAATACTTTAGAATATCATCATCTTGCTATATCCAATGGTAACACAATAACTAAGTGGTTGAATACTAACTAAAAAGTGTATGTTTCTAGTCCACTCCAAGGCTCTGAGGGAGATAGAATTGTTGATCTGCTTCCCTAAAAAAGAAAGAAAGAAGGAAAGAGAGAAAGAGAGAGAGAGAGAAGCATGTGGGCAGTTCTTCTCTGTCACAAGGGGTGACTGTGTCTCAGAACTGACTCCAGGGCTCCCCAACAACAGTTATCCACATGAATAGCTGCTAACATCTTCCCCCTCCTTAAGAGAAAACCACTTATGATGGCCTTCATGAGAGAAAACACCGCCAATTATAGTCTGATTCAAGGAATCAAGCTAGAGTCTGACTAAGACTTAGGTTCCAGATGCCAAATTTCAGGAAAAGTAGGACATGGAGAAACAGATTCAGTTATATCATAGGGACAAATACAGACTGTGGGAAACTCTATAAGTCAAATTCCTCAGCTAAATTACAAGGAAAAGGATGAGATAGGAAATCTGTAGGCTTAAAAAAGACCAAAAAAATTCTGATCAAGACTCACTGCTGTGTCTAGGGAAGTCAGAATGGTGATGAAACTCTAAAATCTTACAAAGAAAGGGTTACCCAAACTCTAGATGTTGTTAATTTCATAGAGAGAGTCGTTCTGATGGACCAAGATTCTGAAGTGGCTGGCAAAATTTCTTTCTTGACTTGGGCTATGTTGGTAAGGGTTTCATCTTTTAATAAAGCTCTTTGGTTAACATGCAAATTGTTAACATGCTTGGCTACTAACCAAAACATTGGAGGTTTGAGTCCACCTAGAAGAGCCTTGGAAAAAAGACCAGGCAATCTACTTCCAGAAAAATCAGCCCCTGAAAACTCTAGGGCACAGTTCTTCTATAAAGCACGTGAGGTCATGATGCTGATCTGCTTTTACTTTTTAATAGCCAATAAAATAATACATTTATTTTATGTGGTTTTCTGCATCTTGTTTTGTTTTGCCAAGAAAAGGTTAAAGGGCAAAAAAACTCCAAAAACAAGAACAAAAACAACATCCACAGAGCAATGCTACACACTGTTTATTGCTGTTGGTGTGTACCAACGATTGGGTTCCGACCTTGTATAGGGTTTTCAAGAGTGGCTGGTGAGCTTGAACTGCCAACCATGCGGTTAGCAGTCAAGTGCTTATCCTACAGTGCCACACTTCTTGTTGTTGTTAAGTGCAGGGGAGTCGGTTCTGACTCATAGCAACACTGTGTAGGGTTTCCAAGGAGTGGCTGGTGATTTTGAACTTCCAACCTTCCGGTTCAGCACATTATTCTGCGGCATCACACCAGGACTCAACTAGGGTTCAAAAATTGCTTATAGAATCATATAAATTAATGTGACAAGATGATATCCATTAAATTCAGGATAGTGGTTCCCTCCATAGAGGCAAGAGAGAATCAAACTTGGGATGAGGGAAGGCCAAAGGGTGTTTTCATTCCATAGAAGAAAGACTTGAAGCAGATATGTGAAAAATTTTAGCAATCAATGGTCAATTGGGGAGTATTGTAAACATAAAAAAAACTAAGAACCAAACCCATTGAAATTAAGTTGATTCCAGCTCAAAGTGACCTTATAGGGCACAGTCAAAGTGCCCTGGAGGGTTCCCAAGGCTCTAATCTCTAATGAAGCAGACTGCCACTTACTTCTTATGCAATGCACTGGTGGGCTTGAACCACCAACCCTTTGGTTAGCGGTTGAGTGATTAACCACTGTGCCACCAGAACACGCTTATATGTTTGTGCACTATTCTCTCCTAGTCTTTAGTTTTTGCCTAGTCTTTAGTATTTAATTTTAAAAAGCTTGTGAATCCAAATTGTGACTATGCGGTAGGTAAAGGTGCCAAGGGATGGAAAAACGAACCCAGATACAGGACACGAGCCATCTGTTTATTACAGAATAGCAGTTAAGACAAAGACTTACCAGTTATAGGACAGTGCTAAAGTATTACAAAATAGATACAAAGACAGTGATAAGTCACAAACTATTCAAGGCAGGGGGAGACTGACAAACTTGGAAATGTAGCTCAGCTAGCTGGGTCAAGTGGCAACTGGCTAGACAGGAAGTTTCTGCTTCCTGTTTCTTCCCTAACTACTGGAGGCTCAGCAAGCTCTTTTGTACCCTAAGTAAACAAGCTACTTCTGTTATGGTTATTGCTTAAAGGGCATTGTTATTATTGTCCTCTGGCTCATTCTCAGAATTAATTGTGGGGGTCTGGTTTGGGGTTTGGACCATCTGCTTAACTTCTGGAAACTAGCTCAGCTAGTTATTGTGATCTTGAGGGGATCATCTGTTTAAGTTCTCAAACCTTGAGACAGCTTGGGTCCACATGCAAACCACAATGACTTGTTAAATGGGGCAATATTACTGCAGGGGCTAGCTTATTATAGGTACTGTGCCTGGAGAGCTGAGGTCTGCAATTAAATAAACCACAATGATTTAAGAAACGGGAAATTATTACTGCAGGGGCTTGTTTTAAATGAGCTGCAAGGTCAGTGGTTCAAGCTCACCAGCTGCTCCTTGGGAAGCCTATACAGGGTCACTATGAGTCAGGGCCAATTTGACGGCACATAGCAATGACAAGAACAATTCATGTAGGTTACCAATATTAATTTTTCTCCTAACTTAGGTAGTTGGACCAATAGCTATTATAACTTTGATTTGTATAAAACACAGGGCCAATAATACCATAATAACAACAAATAACAACATAACAAACAACAATTATGCTTCGCAAGAATGGGGCCATTTTGAAATGCTTAGGCCTTAACCATACGCTATGCAATAAATTCTTTGAAAATATCACGGTACTATTGGACTTGCATTTTATACAAATAAAGGTTATAACAGCCATTGTTCCAAGTACCTAACTTAGCAGGAAAATTAATGTTGCTAACCTAAATGAATTGTTATAGTTGCTAAGTGTCATTGACTCAGTTCCGACTCATAGCGACCCTGTATGGGGTTTCCGAGGAGTGGCTGATGAGCTGGAATCGCCGACCTTTCAGTTCAAATCAATCTTGCAGTTCAATGCATTATCCTGTGTTTTATACAAATCAAAGTTATAATTGCCATTGGGCTAACTACCTAATGGAGCAGAAAAATTAATGTTGGTAACCTAGACAAATTAGTTCCCATTAAGTAAATGAATATTTGACTCTCTAAGAACTTTATTCATTATAACCATTTACATGGCCATATAGAGGAAGTAGAATCAATATTCTCTTTCTACTGAGATTGCAAAGCAAATATACTAAACCACTAATCAGTTCCTTCTTTTGCAATATCCAACTTTTACTGGAGTTCAAGGTCAAATAAACATTATTTTTCCAGATTATTTTCCCATGGAGTTTTGAGATCAGTTGGTTTCTGAGCTAAACACTCTGTTGAATTGACCGTTATGTACATCTGTGTATGTAAATGTGGTCAAGTGAAAATAAAACTATTAAAATCATAGTACCTTAAGTACTGTATTGGCCTTCCTAGTACTACAGCAATGATCATCAGATGGGCAAATCATCATAAGTATGACACATTAAACAAAAATGGACCATTCAGCATTCTATTCCCTACGTGTCCATAACAACTTCCTTCTGCCACAATGGAAAATGAATGTCAGGGAGAAAATTCCTAGAGTATTTTGTTTTTAAAATGTTTATGAGCCCCGTAAGCATATCCACTCATCAAAAGAGCACAGTGAGGTGCTCCTCCGTAAGCATGCTCAGGATGTACACCCACTCTTCATGAGTCACGTCGTCAGTGAGAGGAAAACAGCCCTACCACAGGGTGACCCTTTCTGAACTTACCAGGCAGGTAGCTGCACAGTTTTTCCATAGCAGCCTGGGTTGTCGAGTTGTGCACCTGAGCAAGCTGTTCAATCACAGATACCACCAGCACACATCCTGCAAGGGAATAAAGACCATGTCAACAGGGTCACACAGAGAATGGTGCTGGAGGTGAAAGAAAGGATGTGTATGTGTCTTTCAAAACACTAGAATAAAACAAAACCCTGGCTGTCAAGCCAATCCCAGTGCTGATTCATGGCGACCCATGTCTGTGTGAGAGTAGACCTCTGCTCCATAGGTTTTCAGGGGCTGATTTTTCAGATGCAGGCCTTTTCTTCTCAAGAACACAAACCCCACAAAACTCACTGCCGTCTGACTCACAGAGTTGACTCTGGCTCACAGCAGCCCTATATGTAGGGTTTCTGAGCTTATAAATCTTTCCACAGTCTCATCTTTCTCTCACAGATCAGCTGGTGGTTTGAAGAAATAGTGGTAGTAATTGAACTTCTTTGTAGATGTATGGATATCATCCTATCACAGACAGCACAGCGTAGTACTTCAAAATAGATCTTGCAATGTTCCTTGTGATGGTGAATGCCTCAGCAATTCTCTTCAATTTGTCAATCCCAGCATCGTAAACCAAGCAATTGTCAGATTTTAAATGGCCAATACCCGTTCATTTCAGCTCACTAATACCTAGGTAGGAGTCCTGATGTGCCGCTGTGGGTTAATGCACTGGGCTGCAAAGTGGTTCAAGTTCACCAGTCACTTCTCGACAACACTGTACAAGGTGGCTATGGGTCAGAACCAACTTGACAGCACTTAACAGCAACAATTTATAGAGGGTTACTATGAGTGGGCACCAACTCTCCGGCACTTAACAACAACAATGCTTAGGATATCGACCTCTATGCATTCCATTTAATTTTTAACGCAGCCCAATCCTCCTCACAATTTTTGTTACTCTTGGTCTCGTTGCTGCGGACACTGTTAATCCATTTCATGTGAGTCTTCCTCTTTTTTGCTGACCTCCACTTTACCAAGCATAATACTGTTTTCCAGAAACTGGTCCCTCCTGATGACATGTCTGAATTATGAGAGATAAAGTTTTGTCATCCTTGCTCCTAAGGAGCATTCTGGTTGCATGTCTTCCAACACAGATTTGTTTATTCTTCTGGCAATCCCTGGTACTTTCAATATTTTTCTACAACACCATAAGTCAAATGTAACCATTTTTCTGTGGTCTTCCTTATTCATTTCCCAACTTTCAAATGCATATGAGGCAACTGAAACTATCATGGCTTGGATCAAGTACAACTTAGTCCTAGAACTGTATCTTTGCTCTTGAACACTTTAAAAAGTTCTTGTGCAACCAATTTGCCTAGTGCAATATGTCATTTGATTTCTTGACTACTGCTGCTGTGAGCGTTGATTATGGATCCAAGCAAAATGAAGTTATTGACAACTTTTATCTTTTCTCCATTTATCATGATGTTACTAATTGGCTTAGTTGTTTTTTGTTTCTTTACATTGAGGTATAATCCATACTGAAGTCTGTAGTCTCGGATCTTCATCAGCATATATTTTAAGTCCTCTTCACCTTCAGCAAACAGAGTTGTATCATCTGTGTATCATAGGTTGTTAATGAGTCTTCTGCCAATCCTGATGCCAAATTCTTCTTCATATAATCCATCTTCTGTAATTATTTGCTCCGCATACTGATTGGATAAATATGAAAAAGAATACAGCCCTGGTTCATACCTTATCTGATTTTTAAATCATTCATAATCCACTTTTTCTGTTCAAACAACTGCCTCTTGGTCTACGTACAGGTTCCTTTGGAGCACAATCAAGTGTTCTGGAATACCCATTCTTCACAATGCTATCCATAAGCTTGTCATGATTCACACAATCGAAAGCCTTTGCATAGTCAATAAAGCACAAGTAAATATCTTTTTGGTATGCTCTGCTTTTAGACAAGATGTCAGCAATGATGTCTCTAATTCTACATTCTCTCTGAATCCGGCTTGAGCTTCTGGCAGCTCCCTGTTGATTTACGGTTGCAGCTGGTTTTTAATTATGTTCAGCAAACATTTACTTGCATGTGATAAAATGATATTATTCTATGATTTCTGCACACCTCTCTTTGGAATGGGCACAAACATGGATCTTTTCCAATTGATTGAGCATGTAGCTGTCTTCCAAGTATCTTGGCATACATGAGTGAGCACCTCCAGAGCTTCATCAGTTTGCTGAAAGATTTCCATTTGTATTCCATCAGTTCCTGGAGCCCTGTTTTCCCTCAATACCTTCAGTGCATCTTGGACTTCTTCCTTCAGTATCATTGGTACTGGAATGGGATAAGAGGTTTCAATGTGACCTTTTGAAAAGGGAGTTGAAAAGGAAGGGGCTTTAAAATGAAACAGACTTCAATTCAAATATTGGGTCCATCAGTATCTGTGTGACTTTGAACAAGTTATATAGCCTCCTTGAACTTCATTTTTAAGTGTTTTGCCCCATAGGCCATGTATTCCTTAAGGGCAGGAATGAGGCCTTAACTCGTGTCTAACTTTCAGTGCCTGCACAATGTCTGGTTTGGAGGATGAAGTCAAGGGGAATTTGCTGATTTGAAGTGAATTGGCAGCAGCGTCACCTGAGTGACATATCAGTTATCAGCTGCAGGAAGTGTCGTGTGGTTGTTGTTGTGAACTGCCTTCATGGCAACCTCATGCACAATGGAGCAAAATGACGCCGAGTCCTGTTTCATAGGCTTTTCTTTGACTGGTTTTTTTGGAAGTAGAATACCAGGTCTTTCTTTCTAGTTTGTTTTAATCTGGAAGCTCTACTGAAACCTGGTCAGCATTGCAGTAACAAGCAAGCTTCCACTGATAGACAGGAGGTGGCTGTACATATGGTATATTGGCTAGGAATCGAATCCAGGAACATGGAAGACATGAATTCTACCACGGAGCCACCAATGTGTCTGTGAAGGTCTCCAGAGGAAATAATTCATGGAGGCACTTGTCCTTCCTTTCTGGCTCGGTCTTTTCAGTGATGTTCTTTACTCTCTGTTACAATCTTATTACAGGATATTCCTCCACTTCTCATTCTGACATAAAACAACCACTGTCCTCTCTTGAGCCAAACAGCAAATTCTGTAGCAAATTATCACCATGCGAAGCTCAGAATCAAAGAAACTGGTAGACATGGAGTTGAAAACTTAAGTTGTTGTTGTTGTTAGGTGCCACCCAGTCGATATGAACTCATAGCGACCATATGCACAACAGAATGAAACACTGCGTGGTCCTGTGCCAACCTCACAATCGTTGGTTGCTATGTTTGAGCCCATTGCTGCTGCCACTGTGCCCATCTTGTTGGGCGTCTTCCTCTTTTTCTCTGATACACCGCTTTACCAAACATGATATCCTTCTCCGGGGACTGGTCTCTCTTGACAATATGTCCAAAGTATGAGAGACAAAGTTTGGCCATCCTAGCCTCCAAGAAGCACTGTGGCTGCACTTCTTCCAATACAGATTTGTTTATTCTTTTGGCAGCCCATGGCACTTTTAAGTTGAGTCTGTCTGTCTGTCTGTCTGTCTGTTAAGTGCTGTTGAGTTGGTTCCGACTTACAGCGACCCTGTCTAGGGTTTCCAAGATGTGGCTGGTGAGCTTGACCCACTGACCTTGTGGTTCCAACTGACCTTGCATTCCAGCACATTAACCCACAGTACCACACCTGGACTCCTTAATTTGAGTAGCAATCACTTAATATAGCATATTGTCAATGAGCTTCACATTTAGACCCCCAAGTGGACATGAAGCATTGTGGGAATGGCTAATTGGCAATAAAACTGGGAGACTTGACACAGTCGCTGAGCACAGGAGATCTAACTTTGAGTTATGCCAGAGAACCTAGCCTGTGTGGTTATCATTTTACACATCTTTGTAAAAATTGTGGAAGACCATGATCTCTCCAGATCTGACTTAATACAATTTCCAATTATACATAACATTTTCAATATGCTCCTTGAAAGGAAAGAAAAAAAAAAAGACAAGCAACCTGAAGAATGTAAGTGATATAATAACAGTCAGGATTCGCCCTTCCTAGTCCCAGATACATTCAGAGGCACTTGCCTTTGCTTCCTGCCTCAATCCTTTCAGTGATGTTCTTTGCTGTCTGTTACAATCTTATTATGGGACATTACTCCAGGGCTCATTCTGACATAAAACAACCAGTGCCCTCTCTTAAATAAACCATATATTAAAGGGTAAGCCGGTGGAAAAGGGTCTTGGGTAAGTACAGACTTAGGCCATTTTCTTGCTAAGTGAGCTGAAGGAGCACAAAGGGACAAGTGTTAGTTGTGCTGTCTCAGTTTCTCCTAAGGTATAAGTCTTTGACAAACCAAACATTTAGAGGGATTAGAAATAAGTACATGTTACTCTACTCAGAAGAGTCCCACAGTCTGTGAATGAGTTCATTCCAACATCCCCTTGAAAGACTGAGTGTTTTTGGTTGTTATTTTTAACTCTGGCCCCTCCTTTGCTTAATGAATACCTCTGAATCATTCAAGATCTTCCTTATACTCAATAATTTTTGTAAAACCTCATTTTCTTTCCTTAATCAGAATTCATGGTATCTTCATTGCTGCTGCCCCAATTATTTGGACAGGTATTAACTGCTGTTCTGACTTCCTTCCCTCTAGATATTGTTCTAATTGAGGGCAAGACTAATGACTAATATTTCCAGGACTTAGTACTATGCTTGGCTCATGATTTGAGAACACATTTACTGAATAGATGAGTGAAGGAAACTCTTGTGGGAAAGACCCCACCTACCTGTGGGGATGGTCCACCTCTACAGGGGGACATGCATGAACAAAGGACATCTAGACATAAAACTACAGAAGCTCTTCCCGTTGTTTTCCTTTCTCCCTCCACATTTAGTTTGCCCAAATCTCAGCAGAGGCGACCTTTTAAAATGGAAGCATACATTCAACCAATAGTTACAGATCACCTGTTCTTTGCAAGAAACTGTGCTAATCTTTCATGCATACCCAAATAAGCAGAATAAAATCCCTTTCCACAGGGAGCTCACAGTATAGTTCTCAAATTCTCAT